CGTCGCCGTCTCTGAGGCAGTGACCGCACACAACTGATACGTGCAGCGGGTCGTCCGGACGTGACTACAGTGGTGGGGCACCTAAATTACGTCAACAACGTCGCAAACATAGAGGAGTCGTGACGTATACTTCAAAAAGGTGTCCACGACGACGCCCCAGTGTACTGATACTGTGCAGCAAAATACTTAATGAATAGGAAAGGCTCTCGTCGTGTCTTGATTCATCTGGGTTTCAGGGTGTGGCGAGCTGCCGTGGACACCCAGGCTGTCTCGTCCACGCGCAAGGCAAGAGAGCCAAGCGAGAACTAGTACTAGTACATTTACAATATCGCCGCTTCCTTGCTAGACCGCTAATATAGTCGCAGTGTCCGTTGGCTCGACGACCGTACGATCGTCTTCTTCTCCCATGGCGTCACGTCGTTGACGCTACAGTCTGTGGCGACATAGAGTTGAGGCAGCTCCAGCCCGAAACAGTGTCCAACCTGGCGCTTCGAGAGACCAGCAGCGGTCGTGTCCAGCACCGCGTTTGAAGATACCACTGCATTGGGTACCGTGCTATCGCTCGACGGAACGCATTGTGGGATGGTTCACCCCGTCGTCTGCGTGGCAACAGTCTGGTTGGCTTCAACCTAGCATGTTTTCAGGTCGCCTCTCCGCACACTAGGTCGCGAGGACATCCGACCCGGGCGCATGGACACCGAGTCGATCTTATTTGCTAGTGGGAGGCGGCCCACGACCTCACTCATGCCTCCGCAGCACAAGTGTCGAGGTGACGTGCGATGCTTGCGCTTGATTGCTCGAGTAAAAGCAGCGAAAAGGGGCGACACATATATACACATATATTTTGTAGATGACTAGGCTCAATGTAGCGCCTCGCCATTCACACCTTCATCAATATTGCAGCATTCTTCAATGTGCTCGATTCAGGTGGCAATGCAGTGGCCTCGACGAGTCTTACGATTGCGCCATCGTGCTGCGCCGACAGCGTCCGCGTCGCTTCTGCCCCTGGGCGTTGTCGACGACCACCACAATGCGCCCTCGCTGCTGCTTGGTGGGATTGGTTGCTGGCTTGACTGGCGTCTTGGCTGGGGTCTTGGCGAGCTTGGTCGTTGGGCGTCGCTTGCGCACCATCGCGGTTGCCTTTTTCTTGGTCGACTTGGTTTTCAACGGCTTGGTGCTGGTCGGCTCGGATGCGGGCTCTGTCGCGTGGGCCTGTCCCGTCTCATGGGCCAGCGAGAACGTGTGTTGGAGCAGCAGATTGGAGATGAATCGCTGAAGCCCGAACGAACCAACGAGCAATTCCTTGTGCACCGCCTCGTGCTGGGTCGTCGTCGGCGTGGCAACCACGTCGCCAATGACGGCAACCCGGAACCCGCGCAAAGTTGTGTCTAGAAAACGGACCAGCGCCGGGAGATCAGTGGCCACAATGTCGGAATGCTCGCGTGCGAGGTACGAGACGGCATACTCGGCCACGCGCACGAGCCCCTGCAGCGCCTCCGAACAGAAGTGGTCCACAACGGTAGTCAGCCCAGTGAGGGCGCTGCGAATGTCGGCGATGGAAGAGGGCGTCGGAGGCACGGGCAGCCCTTGGCGTGGCGACGCCCGTAGCGCGTTGAGCCACGCGTCGATCTCGGGCTGCTCGCACAGCTTAAAGTGCATGAGAGACAGGCGGCGCGGGCCAAAGTCAACGTGAAAGAATGCTGCGAGGAGTGGCGGCGAGATCTTCAAGCGCTCGAGGTACAGCGCATCAGCGCGCAGCCACCAGCCAAGCGGCGTCAAGTGCGCCAGCGACTCGCTCACAACGAGCTTGTGGATGGCGCACTCGAGGTTCGTCGGGTCAAACTCACCGTGCGTCGCCTCGCGCATGGTCTCGGGTGGTGCTTGGAGATGGTCAACATGTCTTGGCCATTGGGCGCGGTCGAGGCGGCGACGATGCTGACCGGGCTCGGGGCCATCGTGCTGGTTGCTGATTGCGTCACTTTCGAAATACGACGCTTGGTTGCGAACCCCCAAAACGAATATCATGATGTAGAGGTTTCCAACTGCGGAAAATACTTCCAGGGGAAAAATTAGTTGATCAAGGCATCCCTTGCGGTTGATGTACTACTCCTACTACAGGGGCTGGACATTATTGGAGTTGCCAATGCGCGGGGCATTTCACCGACGAGCTCCACAATAGAACTGTTGACATGCAAAGTTCGCGGCTACGACTAATTGATTGATTGATTGATTGATTGATTGATTGATCGATTGATTGATTGATTCGTGGTGTCAATCCCAGCGATTCAGTGTTGTCTGCTCGTCGTCGTTGTTTGCATACTCCCATGTTCACACGAGCATGCCGAAGGGATATTGCGGGAAGTGGGTGACCTTCGAAACGTCGCATTGCTACACGGTGTTCGTCTTGCGGCTATTGACGTTGATGTCGGTCAACGCTGTCTCTGGGAGTGGTACTGCATCTTTTCTAGGCACTGCTGCAATCAACATCGCAATGACTTGACTCACTGCATCTTTTCTGCAATGCAAAAGACCACCGCACCGCATGCATGCCCAGGCGTAGCTGCAGGGCTAGCCCGGTCGACTCTGTGCACAGAGACCAGGGGTAGGGTAGAGGCGTGTGTACTTCGCACTCACCAGCACGCGCTGCTGTGCCCATGGCCGAACGCCGTTGTGGCTCTTATCTACTACGGACGAGGTGTTCGAGAAAAGAGGCTAACGAGGCATTAGTGTAAATGGTAGTTGGTTCATTCTCGGATACATCAATAAGATGATCGCACCAAGATCACGCAGTCGCTGGCGTCTCTCACGAGCTCTACAAATTGCGTAGCTTTGCCGCCGATCGCGACGCGACGCATGGAAGGACTTGACGGAGCTTTGATGTCGTCATGGGCCACACCTGCGACGTCATAAGAGCACGACGCGGCGCTACAGTTCAGTGAGCGACTGAAAAAGAAGACTATCGAGATTGCTATCTGCTTTCACTACAGCGACTTTAGAATTGCTACCGCGGTAGACGTTCATACATATTATATAGTAGTATACAGCAGCCTGCCTACAGCCGCGTTTGGTACTGCATCGTGAGCGGGTCCACAAGACTCTCAAGCACGGCGGTAACGTTGGCAAAGTAGTCTTCGGTTTGCCGCAGCGTGCGCGTGCGGAGTGCTCGCTCCACGCAGGCTTCGAGGATCTCTGGCGACGCCGAGCCAGCCACGGCGCGGTACACGTCCGGGAAGAGCGACCGGGCGTACGCTGCCATCGAGTCGTACGCTGCGACGGGCTGGAGCACGCAGACGCTGCGCAGCAAGCACGCTTCGGGCGAGAGTTGCCGGATCTCATTCCTACAAGTCCCTGTGCTTGAGCGTGTGCTTTTCGACTCCACATGGCGATAACCCACCACTCTTGAAAGGTCTCGTCGGGCGCGGGCGTGGGTCGCAGGGCGTCGCATGCAATGGTCCGAAACATACTCAGGGTTCGGTCGCCTTCGTCGACCGACTTGTGGAGGACATGAATGAGTTTGCCGCGGTACCGCTCCTGAACGTAGTGCAGGCGATCCGAGTCCGGTCCATCCCGGTACACAATCTACATAGATACAGTTGGATAGAATATGGATAGATGGATAGTACACGCACGATACCTCGACGTCCATGGGCGTGCCACGGAGCCCGCTGGCGGTCGCGCCGTTGACAATCCAAAGCGCTTTGGCCACGTCCTGGCGCCGGCCGCGAATGACCTTTTGCTTGATCAAGCGGCGGCCAGCCATGTCCCACTCGATGCGCACGTCGTCGTCGGTCGGTTGCGATGGGAAGAGGCTCGGCGGCAGCTGCGCATCGGCGGCGTGGCGCAGCTGCTTGCCAATCCACGCAAACCCGACGCGGCGAACGTACGCATCACTCGAGAGCGTCACGGCATGCCATGGCGACGCGCTGCCGAGCCCCTACGCATGACTCCAGGTAAGCACGCGTACCGCCGACAACGACGACGAGACCGTGGCCGGGTGCATGGCCGCAACCCACGCATGCAGCTGCTGGGCGACGGTCCCGTACTCGGTGACCTGGCGGCGAAGGTCTTCGTTGACATTGCATGTGGTCTCGCGCGTGCTGTCGAGCGCGGCCGCGACCTCCTTCCATGGCAGAAGCGTGCCCCGCAGCGCGTAGAGCTGGTGCGTGAGGCGCGTGATCGTCGCCGCGAGATGGTCGCGCTCGCAGAGGTACGTCTGCCGGGCAACGCGCTTGGCCTCGCGGTCGTAGGCCAGGCGCCGCCGCCGGACCTCGGGCAGCATGGACTTGCGCTTCGTCGTCGTCTCGCCCCGCATGCTGCTCGGTCCGAGATGTAATGGACGTGACAATCCAGCAGCGACCATATGGGGCTTCGCGAGCATTCTTGACATGTCAAGAACGTGTCAAGAATACGCAGTCAAGAACCGCTTCAACTTGGCGCCGACATTGCACCTCGAGACCATCTTATTGCACGTCCACAGCTTAACACCAGAAGCCATTGACGCGATGGCCAAGCACCTCTGCCGCATGAAAGGTCTCAAGCAGCTGACGTGGATGTGCATCCCCTTCAAGGGCGACCACTATCAACCGCGCGCTTGTCACGGTATGCAGTTCGACATATTTCCGAGCCGTACAATCTAGTCAGTGGAATCTATTGTCTGTACTAAGGTATCCATCCATAACCTATCATATCTCTCTACAGTATGACAATTCTATCTCAACAACAAACGACACAATTCAAAAGCTCAAAACGTCTGTCTCTACCGCACCGACACATCGCTTCTGGGCTGGCAGTACGCATGCTGCAGCACCGTGGCCATGGACGGACGCAGCGCCGGGTCTGCGACCAGAAGCAGCGCCAGCATCTCGACAGCGTCGCTTGGCAATGTCAGTCCCCACGCGCGGACGAGCGTCTGGATACCAACGCGCTGGACGAAGCCAAACACTTGGTCAACCTCGGACGACGACTCGACGAGCGGGACGCCGGTGAGCAGCATCCAGAGCACGATGCCGAGGGACCAGACGTCGACGGTCGCCGCGCTGTAGTCGCCACTGGTGTGCATCTCGGGCGCCATGTAGTAGCTCTTCCCGACCGCATGTGTGGCCGTTGCTGCGAGCGGCGTCGCGAGGCCAAAGTCGCCAATCTTGAGTTGACCATTGACGTCGACAAAGACATTTTCGAGCGAGAGATCGCGGTGGGCGAGGCCGCAGCTATGGACGGCCGCGAGACCACGCGCAATTTGCATGAAATACTGCTGTGCGAGCTCGGGCGTGCACTTGTGCATGGGCAGATCTTGCAGGTGGTTGTACAAATCGCCTTTGGTGCAGTGCTCGAGGAGGAGGTAGTGCTGCGTGCGCTTGCGATCCACGTGGCTGCCGTAGCAGCGCAGTATATGGTCGGATGCCTTGGCGCGGAGGACGTCGTAGGCGCGCACTTCGCTCGCGATGGCGGCGTGCGTGGAGCGCGAGAGGCGCGTGCGCTTGATGACGCACATGGTCGCGCGGTCAGTGTCGTAGGCAAGCAGGACGGCGCCGTCCGACGTGGTTGCTAGTGTTGAGGTCTTGACAAAGCGTTGCATGTTGTGTGTCACGAGTTGAAAAGTGAGCTCAAGCGTGGGTGATGTATGAGAGAAAAGATCACGAGAGCCATGGCGTGATGGAAATAGAGACAACGGAATCCCGCGGTTATGACGTACGCAGCGCGACGGTTACTGTACTAATCAAGAGCGGCAGCGATTTAAGGGACCACCAACGATCGATCGACGCCGACACGTCATAGGACGGCAAGATACCGGGTGCGGGATCCCGTCACGAACCAACGACACACAAATGGGTTGAAGCAAACAACGACTTCGTGCCAGGCAGCACCTGCCGTGTATCCCCTCCAGAGACGACTTGGAGGGGTCACGCCCTCGGTTACGCTCTCCAACGGGACGGTTACTGTACTAATCACCAGCCTCCAAGTGATCTGCCTGCCATGATTGACGCCCACCAACAGTGGCCGTGATACAATGATGGCTCGTGATATTCAGCCAATGCAGCTGCAGCCAATGGGTTGGCCGGATTGATACACAACACACCAAATGAGTCGCTTGCGCAACTAACGTGTACAAGTTGTAGAAGGTAGCGCTCATGCTCAACCGAGTCCACGCTTCGATCGTTCTCCAGCAGCACAAGCCTTCGTACCATTGCACCCCACGCGTGCTCCGTGAAGCTGCAGCACTGCGAAGACGTGACCGCTAACGTATTGCTTCCAGGATTTGAGACGCATACATCGAGGTCACAGTCGCCCCGTGCGATGCGCACACTGCCCGAGAAACGCCTCGTGGAATAAATTGATTCGCATCCTCTTCTCTCTCTCTTTTCGCATGCCGAGTGCAAACAATTTCCACTCACCCGACTTGTATGCTCGAAGCCCAAATTGGTGGCGTCGATCCATCATTGGTGCTCGCTTAATTCGAGGTCGCTTGTGATTAGTACAGTAACCGTCCCGTTGGAGAGCGTAACCGAGTGGGTGCCCCCTCCAAGTCGTCTCTGGAGGGGATACACGGTAGGTGCTGCCTGGCACGAAGTCGTTGTTTGCTTCAACACCCATTTGTGTGTCGTTGGTTCGTGACGGGATCCCGCACCCGGTATCTTGCCGTCCTACTGTATAACGCGTCCGGTATCTTGCCGTTCTATAACGTGTCGGCGTCGATCGATCATTGGTGGCCCCTTAAATCGCTGCCGCTCTTGATTAGTACAGTAACCGTCGCGCTGCGTACGTCATAACCGCGGGATTCCGTTGACTCTATTTTGGCTCTCGTGATCTTTTCTCTCATACATCACCAACGCTTGAGCTCACTTTTCAACTCGTGACACACAACATGCAGCGCTTTGTCAAGACCTCAACACTAGCAACCACGTCGGACGGCGCCGTCCTACGTGCGCTGGCTGCTATACGCAACCCCGTCGACACGTCTTTTATAGGAGAGACGG